TAATATATTGTGCTACACTGAAGGCAGAATTTACGATGAAAAGGTAGCTTATTGGAAATAAGGGTAGAGGTGGTCAGTGGAGCAGGGATGAAGAAGAAACCATGTGAAACGGCCCGAAACCCGAGAAATGGGACCCTTTTTGCCCGTTGATTTGCGCATTGATGCGACTCTCATCGCTGTGCCCTCTTCAACACTACGCTCTCTCCCTGTCTGCTATCTTATGTGAATAGATATTCGGTGGGCGTTCTGCGCCAATTGCACTAAAAGGTCGCCGGGGCATATCCTTCGATGCGAATTGCGTGTTGGTCCGCACCCTTAGAGGGTCCGCCTGTCTCTCCACTAGGTAAGTTTCCCCTTCTTCGACCTTCGTTCTTATCGTGGAATCCTCCTCAGGTAGGTTGATCAATAAATTCCTATGGGAAAGATACGGCTATTCACGAATGGAACATGGGCATTCATCGCAGCTTGGAATTGTAACAGCGGCGCTAGAGCCTTACCAACCTGCTGAGTCGCCGCGAGACCATGCCCGTGTCTCGCTTACCGCTGTGCTCCCTCATCTGTTCGCCCACCTTGTTGCTCAGTGTCTCTTCGTAGCAGCACTGCCACCCCACAAGAACAAAGAGCTCTGAATTACAAAGCTTTCGGCCGATTCTTTTCCTTTTCCTTCACATGCTGTCCAGTTCTACGACCACTTTCGAGCGAAAGGAGCACATATTGCGATCGTGAACTGTGCCTTTAAGTCCACATTCACATTTTTGAAGCTCAATCAATCGCTGGATCGTACTCAATTATTAGTTCCGTATTTCTGCTCGAAACAACCACAGTGTGCGGGAATTTTCATTAGGAAAGTGCAAACATGAAATACAGCACACTACAAATAGAAATCTAACGAACGATTTGTGCCGATTTGAAGTGAGATTGTGAACACGTCGAGTACAATAACTAGCTAATGTACTGTTCAATATTGACAACTGATTAAACATCACATTACTAAAGGAAATCTTTTCTTCCATAGACGAAGTGTTTCGCAGTTTAGTTTTCCCCACCAGTCACGTCGAAGTGTCTCACCAACATCCAGTCGTTGCTCACAAACTTGGTTCTGAATCAGCTTTATTAAATCATCTGAAGAACTTCAAACAACCATCTCAAATTTTCTCGATTGTGTAACTATTTTACGCGGTTGACTCTAAAGGTTTACTGATATCTCTGAGTAAAGGTTGAAAAAACCGCATTTTTGAAAGAGAGTATAGAGCATAGCGAAAAAATGGTAAAGCTGGGGGATAGCTAGGCATGTCTGGGAAATAGCCCTTCTTATGTGGCATGCGTAGGGAGCACGGTCCAATGGCGGAATTTTGCTGATACGAGAAATGGCCTAGAACCTAAAAAACGGGCCCCCTTTTAGTCCGTTGGTTTCCGCAATGATGTGACTCTCATCTGTGCTTCCCTCTTCACCGATAACGCTTCTCTAGTCCGCTGAACGGCTTAGATTCAACGAGATGAGAGGCGGTGCGACGTGCGTGTGGCGCACAGCAGTGCGGTATTGGCGTGCTATGGGCTCGAGCGGCATACTTCGGTGCAAACAGTTGAGTTGAGCGGCGAGGCAAAGGAAGGGAAAAGTTAGGAGAGTATGCTCAGACAACTAGGGTCTCATCTTTCCCATTAAGTTCTCCTCAGAATCATTAGCCTCAGATCAGGCGATGAATAACCACCAGAACGCCCGATAAATGCAAGAAGTGAGCCAGGCAGGGGAGGTGAAGTTTGCAGGAAATAGCGAAGGTGCCACACAGAGTGTGACAAACATGTTCAACGACACGAGATTCCTTTTGGATTAACTCTCAAAAGACAAAATTTCAAAAGATCATCATCCGGAAGCTAAGTCAACAGTTATTTGCTTATGGATGCAGGATGATAAATGCCTGATTAAACACAGAATGAGCAGGAACAGATAGCTAAACACATGCGTCAGAGCAGGGACAATGTGATAGAAGAAGATCGGGCTCGGTGGGCTTAACAGTACGCAGTTTTCATGTATGTAACGTCAGGAAAAGATGGGCGTTACGTACAGTTCGCGTACTTCTGCGATGCATGTACGTGTAAGCGTGAAGTTGAGGAAATGAAGGAAATTAGGGAGACAAAGATTTACTCCTTTCTGAATGAAGCATATGTTGCAGGGTAAGTAAAACATTCCTGCGTTCCACGTTGGGTTCCGCATCCATGGTGACTATGTCTTGTTGACATGGATATGGGGACAGAAATAGAAAGATTGCCTCAGCAAGCTTTCACCTGAGCGATACCATTCCAATTTCTGTAAGTGAGCGGACACAAACCGAGTCGTCTCGCACCGTTACGGGTGTTGAACGGCTGTGCGCGCTCGCGCTGTGTTCCATCCCAGGGTAGTAGACAGGCGGACAAGCGTTGATGTCGCGCCCCTTTTGCCGCTTGAAAGTGCGCGACAAAGGCGCAAGGAGCTCGTCCAACCCGCAACTCACACCTTCGTCCGCAAGCCCCACCCTTCGCTGTCGGTTGCCACGTGGCGCTGCTTGAAAAGCGCGGGCGCATTTGAGGCAGCGGTCCCAGCGCGATCCAATGTCATTGACACTGGAGCAAGTAGAGTTAGGTTCGTGAAACTCGTCCAACGCGCCCCTTCTCTATCCCAAGGTGGAATGTGGCTGAAATAGGGAGGTCTCTGTGCGGGCGTTTCGTTTGCTTTCCTTCTCTTTTCCAGACCACCTCCCACCTATAGCTTCATAACTGAACGCTTTTCCACACCTATTTTATCCCGAATCTTGCCTTTAAAGGGCCAGGACTCTATAGGGCACAAGGAAGGGAAAGCCTATTCAAAGTGTGGATCTCAAAGGAGGAAAATCATGGAGAAACGAGTAATGGAAGCCCTTTCCGTAAGCACGGCGTGGCGAAAAAATGGAATTTATCGAATGGGTAAAGTCGAGAAAAAAGTAAATTTCTAGAAAGTAACACTCACAAGTAATTTCTGATGCCGTCCGGTAGAACCACCACAACGTTTTTGTCCGCCGGTAGACCACGAGCAATCTCATAAGCAGCGTGGATATTCGAGCCCGAAGAACCTCCGCACAGAATTCCTTCTTTACGGATGAGCTCACGGGCTGCTTCGAATGACTCCTAAACAAAAATAAGGTTTTATATTTTCGACTGAAAATCTTATAGCCTCAAACCTTATCAGTCGATTTCAACCATCTGTCGACCACATCTCGGTTCAGGGTTCCGGGAACAAAATCGTATCCCATCCCTTCAACTTCATAAAAGGCTGTTTCGCCTTTAGTGGGATCGGCTAGAATTGAACCTTCGGGATCCACACCTACGACCTGAAAAACGAAGATTGATCGTTTTTGAAATGAAGCTGCCATGTAAAGTTGCACCTACCACACAGTGTGGAATTTTCTCCTTTATTTTCTTCGCGACACCTGTAACTGTTTCCACCTGTGCCTGCACCAATTACCTGAAAATTCACTTACATAGCTCAACTAAAAGCTGTCAATAAAAGGTAGTGTCAACTGACTACGGTGGCCGGAGGGCGGTGCGTTTCGATGACGTCACTTAACGTCAATCCCGGTCGAAGGCCTTGAGGGGGTGATCCCACCACACATGCAGCGGCGCTGGCGGGCCCTATCAGGGTCAAGGTTCTCCTTATTCGAATCAGAGGGCCGCAACCTGTGGGTTGAGCAAGCCTGGATATCCCAAGGCCCGTCGCGCGGCGAAGGAAGAGACGCAGACGCGACAAAGGACGAGCCGCAGCGCATACTGTAGCGGTTAGGCGTCAGGTAATAGAGTGTACCATACTACGTCTCATATCGCACAGCACGCGTGTGACTCGTCCTTTGCCGCATCTGCGTCTCTTTCCTTCGCGCGGGCCTCTTGGGGACACCCAAATCCACGAGCAAGGTTATCATAGTGGGAACGGAGGTCGTTGAAAGGGGTTGCCATTAAGACCGGTTTTTCGAAGGGTTTGGTGAAAGCTCTAGAGGGTAGTGTGAAGTAGACTTGAAGGATCTGCTGCCATTGAACTAATTGACCCCCCTGAGCCAATCAATCGGTCGCTCTATTCGAACAGAATGTCACTTTTGGGATTTCAGAAGGGTGGTCGCATTTTGAGGTTGAAGTTTTTCATAGTGGGAACTGAAGTTGACGGAGATCGGTAGGAGGGGTTGCGTTTGAACGGGTTTTTGACGACTTTGGTGGAAGTATCGCGAAAGTAGGGAGAATAGGCAAGATTGGTGGACCTGCCGCTCCACGACACCAATTTACCCCTTCTCCCCGCGCTCCCAATGGCTGTTTTGGAGGAGAAAGTGGGCGGAGTTGGGCTGTGTCGACTGGTCTCAGAATCAAATACTGCTATAGAACAGCCATGATGGTGAGGGTGGTGGTCGGAGAAGGGGGAAGGGGATCGTATTGGGGAGCCTTCTAAGACTGATAATGATGGTGAGAGGGTCGCATCGAGACCCCCCAAAGAGGAGGAGGGTCGAATTTTTGAAAAATTGCGAACATGACGGTCGACTGTGGGTCTAATCCGCAAATGACATTCAATGACGTCATCAAAACCGCACCGCCCTCCAGCAGTTGACTGTTGTTGAGCGAGCATTAAAACGTACCACGTAATCAACATTGCCGTCTAAACCATCAATTATTTCCTCGGCGGTCTGTTCGTAGTGAGCCAAGGGATTTCCAATATTTCGGTACTGCAAGTTGTGAATTTCGTAATAAAAATTAAGTCATGTGAGATGACATAATATCGTCGAAGACAATTTTTTGTTCAAATATGGAAGAAAAATAATGAACTTCGACGAAAAAGGACTATTCCTAGACAAACTTTACCTGGTCAAGGATTATTGCGCCAGGGATTTCACTCTGTAGTCGCAGCGACACACCAATGTGGGAGTAGGCCGAGTCAAACGCTGCATCATTCGGAGTCCTGACGATATTCGCCCCGAGCGCTTCCACTGTCAGCGCCTTTTCTTTGGACATTTTTTCAGGCATCACGATAATGCAACTAAATGAGCAATTCGGATTAGTACTTGAATGATAACAGACAACCAGCTCCAAATTTCTGAGATGCTACAAATATTTTTGGCGCTAGCGCAAGATGCGGGGGCATCCTTTAGGACTAACAATAAGCCTAGGAAGGGACAAGAACGTTGGTGAAAACGAGAATTTTACGCACTCTGAAATCTCTCCACGCCGTCTAAGGCAGAGTCCCATTTCCGACAAAAAAGGAGATGTTTTAAGCTGTTCAAAATACATTGCCACCACAATGCCCCCGTTTCTTGCGATAGCGCCAAATTTTTATTTCATTTATTTTATTTGTATTTTATTATATGCAAATCTTTTTGACGGCTTTTTTGACAGCTGATAAGCTGAAGTCTGAGCTGCTTCAGTATAATAAAAAATTGCTTTACCGCCCTTAAGGCTATACGCTAGTCCAAGAAAAAATTGTACCGGAAGTGATGAAGTGCAACTTTTCTTACCCGTATCCTTTCACAGCGGCTGCAAGGGATAGCCCGATACCGGTATTTCCCGACGTTGGTTCAATCAAAGTCATTCCGGGCTTCAATCTTCCATCCGATTCTGCAAGCTCGACCATTCGAAGCGCTATTCTGTCCTTAGTTGAACCACCAGCATTGAAATATTCGCACTTCACAACTGCAATTAATTAG